TGCACTGACCTGGCAGGCGCGCGGGGTTCGCTAGCTGGCTCCGTCTCCTCCGCTCGCGCCTGGAGCAAGGAGGGGGTGGGGGGAGGGAGACAGCGCGGGCTTCCCGCCCGGCCGCCTCCGGTTTTCAATTTGGTCCGAAAGGACGGGCCGCCCTCGCGCCCTCCCGCCACGGAAAGCTATTCCCTAGACATGGACTTCCATTTCCAGGTCGTGTCCGGCGACGGCAGAGACGGCGCGAGCCGCGGGCCTGACGGGTCGGGGGCCGCGAGGCGGGACAGGGCCCAGGACGTGAGCACGCCCACCCGCCGCGACCCGGTGCTGCGAAGGCGGGCTGCCGAACAGCGAGCGCTGCGGTGTTCTGTGCAGAAAGCAAGCTGCCTTCCGAAAAGCTTTTACTTTTGCTGCCCAGGGCGCAAACGCTACCGCCTCGTGCCTGCATTTGCAAAATGTTTTAAATTACGCATTGCAAACCTGGGACACTTAACTGAATTCCTAGATGTTTAACCAACCTCATGGCAAGAAAACCTGCGAACTCCTGTTGAAACTCCAACTCCCGAGGTTTCTAAATATCGCCACGACCAAAAGTTCTTTAAAACCACAAAACTGCATCGGTAATACATACAAAACGCAAGCCTGGAGAAAACCCCAACCTCCCCGTCGCCCCCCTTTACCCAAAAAAACAAAACAAAAAAAACCCTCTCAAATTAGAGACTGGAATAGTGAAGCAACTCTATTGTGAGAAGTGAGTGGCTCTGAAAAGAGCCTTTGGGGTTCCACAGCGCCTAAAATTAATTTACTTGGAGCTGGTGTACTTGGTGACGGCCTTGGTGCCCTCGGACACGGCGTGCTTGGCCAGCTCCCCGGGCAGCAGCAGGCGCACGGCCGTCTGGATCTCCCGCGACGTGATGGTCGAGCGCTTGTTGTAGTGCGCCAGGCGGGACGCCTCGCCCGCGATGCGCTCGAAGATGTCGTTGACGAACGAGTTCATAATGCCCATGGCCTGGACGAGATGCCCGTGTCGGGGTGCACCTGCTTCAGCACCTTGTACACGTACACCGAGTAGCTCTCCTTGCGGCTGCGCTTGCGCTTCTTGCCGTCCTTCTTCTGCGCCTTGGTCACGGCCTTCTTGGAGCCCTTCTGGGCGCGGGCGCGGACTTGGCCGGCTCAGGCATGGCGAGCAACAGATTAAGGAAAATGAAGTGCCAGGGCCCGGCGGCACCGCCTTAAATATACAGCCTTATGTAAATGAGGTGGACTGGCGCTCCCCGGTGATTGGTGCTTCCTCTCCGGTGACGCCACCGCGCCGGCTTCACCCAATCGACACACGCATGCCCCATCGTCGCGCCCCCATTGGTGCAAACGAAAATCTCACAGTGGCCAATCGCACAGCTCCTTTTTCGCGCCCCGCCACCACTATAAGTAGCTTAGGTCGGCCTCGCGGGCGTGAGGGCGTCCCGTGCGCGTTGGTGTTCTTGCTGACATGTCCGGACGCGGCAAGCAGGGCGGCAAGGCGCGCGCCAAGGCCAAGACGCGCTCCTCGCGGGCCGGGCTGCAGTTCCCCGTGGGCCGCGTGCACCGCCTGCTGCGCAAGGGCAACTACGCGGAGCGCGTGGGCGCCGGCGCGCCGGTGTACCTGGCCGCGGTGCTGGAGTACCTGACGGCCGAGATCCTGGAGCTGGCGGGCAACGCGGCGCGCGACAACAAGAAGACGCGCATCATCCCGCGCCACCTGCAGCTGGCCATCCGCAACGACGAGGAGCTCAACAAGCTGCTGGGCAAGGTGACCATCGCGCAGGGCGGCGTCCTGCCCAACATCCAGGCCGTGCTGCTGCCCAAGAAGGCCGAGAGCCACCACAAGGGGAAATAAGGGATAGGTTTGGTAAGAATAGAAAACAAACGGCTCTTTTCAGAGCCACTTATGTATTCATAAAGAAAGTGACACTGTTTGTTCCATTTTAAACTTTAACGTTACTCAGGTTAAAATCTCCTTAGGTAGCGTTTTAGTGGCTTACCTGACTACCTTGCTTGCTGGCAACATCAGAATTCCCGTTTTACTTAGCAAGTTGTTTGACATTTGTTCTATAAATTTGCAAGGTTTTAAAGGTTTAAACTCCCTAAGCCCAGTCTAGAAACAAGCAGTTGACACAGGTGTGATTTTACTTAGAGTAGTACTTCTGGTTATACACATCTTTAAGTAATCATTTGTTTTTAGTGTCTACTAAAAGTATTAAAAAAGTTTAAGTGTTGATTAAATTATCTATTTTATCAGATTGTTCAAGTAGTTCTTGACCAACTAGATGAGCCTAGGGTTGGTTGTAACAAGGGTGCCACTGGATACCGTTAAATTGACTTCAAGAGTACTAAAAATGGAGACTTCAACTACGATGAGTCCAAGACATTTTGAGAAGGGAGGTCAAAGATCCTAGTATGTTGCTGTTATCTCTATGCAGGTGATTTTAGACCTGAGACAAGGTTCGAACATTTATGCCACATCACTTTTGCCATCAAGAAATGCAAAAACAGCCTATTTTTTATATAAATTTTTAATTCACTTATACTTTTAAAATTAAGGCTATACTAGTATCTACTATTAAATGGGGAGAAACAAAGCATAACATTGCAAGATAAATTAAGATAATGGGGTATAAAAGACCTGTGGGGGGCCACATCTGATCTGAGGGTTAAAGGAAAAGGAATTGGAGAGGCCACCAGATAATGAGCATACATGGCTTGTGCAGGGAAGTGACAAGATGTATTTGCAAGGAGGCTGACTACAAGAAACAGGAATCAGAGGGATCTGTAGCCTACTCCTTTGGTTTTAAATACTTTTCATAACTCTCCCTTTTTAACGTCCGTCCTAATCCTGCCTCCTCAGTTCAGACATGCAGCTTCATCTACTTTCTAAAATTCTCATAGACCTCCAGGGAGCAAATTTATATGCCAGAACAAATCTAATTTTCTGTGGATCCTTATCTTCACAGTTGCCATCATTTTCCACCCTAATGAGCAAGACCCCAAGAGGTCTGGTGTCACTGACTATTCATTTTTGTTTACCTGTTAGGATAGCAAACCTCAACTCCTAATACAGGGTGATGAAAGCATATAGAAAATCCAGAAAATTTAGCTGGAAGGCAACCAGGCATGGAACTTAAAGAAATTCAGTAATGTAGTGTTACAGGGCAGGGAGAGGGGCAGCCCAGACCCCGCAAACCTGCCTGCTCTAAATAGGTTCTGCCATCCGCCACATCAACACAAAACATATGAGACTTTAATGGGAAGGAACTTTAATACAATTAGGAAACAATACAAAAAAGGGAAAGAATATAGTTTCTAAATCAAGCACCCAGTGTTACCCGTCCACTCGTGGGTAAAACGCCATCCAAATGGGATTGACCCAGAGCAAGGCCCCAAAGCCTGCCACAAGTCTAAGGCATCTTCCAGTGGGGACCCACAAAAAAGCATCAAAAACAACCAGACAAGTCTGGAGGGAAAAGAGCAAAACCAAGACAAAAACCGCCATTGTCACCTCTCCACGGGTCTCTCACCCACATCTGTGCCACCCAGTCCACGACCAAAAGACAAGCACAGTTTCTTCACTTGTCTCTTGGCTCCACGTCCCTCCTCCAGGTCTCCTTCTGGATCTCCATCCTGCTTCCTTCCTTCCTCATTCTCCTCTGCAGCTTCTTCTCTTCCTACTCAGCTCCACCCTGCATTTGGGTGTGGCAGGGAATCTGGAACCTCCCCCTTTCCTGGGGACCACCCCGTTACAGTAGTACTCACTTTTGCTGAATAAATCTTCAATGTGGAGTAATATATTGACTGCATTTCTCCAGAGGATGTCCTACCAGTGCCAGTATTGATCCATGTTCACAGGGACTTCTCTTGTGGGCCCTTCCTGATTTCATAAGCTGCTTCCTTACCAAGAAGCCAAGCTTACATACTCAGCAAGTTCCTTTCCAGAAAAAGGCTGATATCATATCAGAGGGGGCACTCTTCAGGTGTTGACTCAGATTTTTCAAACAGAAGAATTGACACCAAGTTTCACACGTGGAACCCCTGGGTGCTGACTGCCACACACATGATTGGCAAATGTTTAAAAAAGGTTCAATAACAACCTAGTCTAACTTTGTCTTAAAAAGATGAAAAACCTAAGAATGTATGTTACCTGTTCTAAAATGGCTTAAGATACAAGCCAATCAACCAGAAGTTTCAACGCTTGAAATATTATGTTCCACTTATAATGTGACAGAAGTCATGCTACTCATGTCTGACAAAGGTCTGGGCATGGGACAGATTCCTGAAAAGTCAGAAATATCGTCCCTGACTCCTGCTAGATTTTTCTTATTTGTTTATGGCTATTTTCTACCATTGTTAAAATACGCATTTAAAAGTAAAACTGCAAATGCCTATTGATCAATTACTGAATAACCAATTTGATGGCAAAAAAATTAGTAATTCTCTGCCAAAAGGCAGCAATTCAACATTTGGTCATACATTAGCAACTGAAAAACTTCCGGGAACAAAAGGCTGTAAACATCCCTCCACCACATCTTTGAAATGGATTTGGGGTCTTTTGAGGCAAGGGCTAAATGGAAAAGGAAATTCTTTTGCCTTGAAGTTAAAGATAGCAGCTGGGTGGCAGACGCTAGCCATGCTCTAAGTATAAGAAAATTCCTGATAAGCCAGTAGGCAACCATAGCCGGCTCCTGCTAATTTCTTCCTGTTTGCTTAGGGCCCCTGGATCTGAATTGGTATAGTAGTTGTTAGAGTGTGCATTCAAGAATAAGTCAACAACAATTTTGTGACTGGTTGAGCTAATAACCATGGTAGCACAAATAGTGCACTTGGAAATAGTCAATGTTACAACAACTAATATGTCACGTATTAACCATTCTGGGAATCAAAAGCTATAACCATCTCTGGCCCTGCCTCCAATGAAATATTTGTAGTTCCTTAAAACAACAATCAGCAATCTTATAGAAAAAGGAATTTTCCCTTGATCTTAAAGTTAGATACGGAAACTAGGCTGAGGAGATAAGTATAGGAGTAATAGGTAGAAAAACTTGTTAGATTAGGAGAATTCCTCCATTGAGAGCTTGGGGCTAGGGAAGAATCAGTGCAGCTTGTCTGGCATTGATGCCCTCCAGGCCCTTGGTTCCTTAATATTTAATCAATATCTTATAAAAACAATATATTATTAGATGATGATTTCTATATAAAAGCCTTCTGTTTTTTGCTTTAATCATATGGTTATGTGTTAGCCTAAACTTTATAGGTTAGTTAGGAAAATCCCAGTCTCCTTCCCCCAGGTAACTTCCTGTCCTTTGTTTCCCCTAGCCCTTAATCGTTCACCATGGTAAACAAAGAAATGTTGGTTTTGTTATAGGGCAGCCCCGATATTGAACGGGTTGCCTGGCTGTGGGTCCTCACCACGCGCTTAAAAGGGACTTATTAATACTCCACTACAGGCATACACAAAAGGTTAATAAAAGGTTTATTTACAAGGGAAAAGGAAATAAGGAAAATGTACAACTCAGGGAGAAAATAGGGAAATAAAGTCTTTAATGCGTCCTACCCATTCCGCCGACCTGGAAACCTAAAGGCACTCTCCGAGCTGGCCAGACGCTGCGAGCTGGCCGAGAGCCAAAATGGGGGAACCCCTCCAAAGCCCATGTGTCTGGCTTTATACCAACCTGGCTGCTTAACCCCACCCTCAGGTCCCAGCCACCTTCCCTTTGATGGTGATGGGATTTGGAGTTCCCAGTGTCTTTGGCTTTGGCCTGGGGTGGGAGTGGAGTCCACAAAGCCTGTATGGAATTAGCTTTAGGACATCCTTTTCCCCCTAACAGTTTCAGTCACATAAGTTTTTTACTAGTAATAGAATGACTGTTTAGTTGTTTAAGGTAAATGACTACTCTAAGAACACTTTTAGCTATTGTGCCTTCTTTAAAACAAAGAATAGTAAATGTCACGACCTCTGCAGGAGGGCAAATAGATCCTTGGCTGTTCTTGAAAAAGATGTAATGATTGTTATCTTCCTGCTTTAATGCATATGCTTATGCACTCTCACGGTTTGCTTGAAACGTATAAAGAGCTGCTGAGACCCTCAGCAGAATGATGTCTGCACCCTAATCAAGTGTCTGCGTCTCCTCATTCCCCCCATCATTCCACAATTGCACCTCCACAGTCCCATCCTTCAGGAACCCCTGACACCCAGGCTGCTGCGGCTGGCTCGCGGCAACAATGTAGCAATATAAAATGTTGACAACATACAGTTGTAGCACTAATTTTTTTAATTTACTTATACAAGAACCAGGGTACAGGCCTTATGCGCCGGGAGAGTGAGAGGATTCACCAGAGCAGGTAACAGAACAGGCAGACTGACGAAATACACTGCTGAGGGGAACAGTGGGTGAGGCAGGAGAGGTCTGCTTTGCCACGTGCAATTCTCACCGGCTGGCCGGGATCGAATCCGCTGTGGACAGCTTCACAGTGCAGTGCTCTACCACCTGCGCCTCCAGGGAGGCCCTGGAGCACTTTCTTAATGAGTTAAAACCTAAAGGGACTAAGCCACAAATACCAGGTGTTTAGACAACTCAAGCATATTGCAGAAAATCAGACTTCTTTAAGTTTCAAAACAACTTCAGCCACAAGACTTAAAAAAGCTACAGTTCTTTTTAGTGTGCAAGTGGGAGGCCCTGAAAAGAGCCTTTTAGCGTCAAACACGACCTTGAAGTTTAGGCACGTTCCCCGCGGATGCGGCGCGCCAGCTGGATGTCCTTGGGCATGATGGTGACACGCTTGGCGTGGATGGCGCACAGGTTGGTGTCCTCGAACAGCCCCACCAGGTAGGACTCGCACGCCTCCTGCAGCGCCATCACGGCCGCGCTCTGGAAGCGCAGGTCGGTCTTGAAGTCCTGCGCGATCTCGCGCACCAGCCGCTGGAATGGCAGCTTGCGGATCAGCAGCTCAGTGGACTTCTGGTAGCGGCGGATCTCGCGCAGCGCCACGGTGCACGGCCGGTAGCGGTGGGGCTTCTTCACGCCGCCCGTGGCCGGCGCGCTCTTGCGGGCCGCCTTGGTGGCCAGCTGCTTGCGCGGCGCCTTGCTGCCTGTGGAGTTACACGCCGTCTGTTTCGTGGGAGCCAGGGCCTGAAATTTCAATTGCTGTGACTGCAGGCTGGCCTCCTACTTATACTGTGAGTCAGAATCTGATTGGAGAAAAGGAAACTAGCCGATCGGTAACCGGATTGGTTAAAAACTCGATGTTTTTTTTGTCATACTCCAAATTCTCTTTTGCAAGTTGTTCCGGACCGCCATGTATTCTATTTTTCTCACAAGTTGTTTGTAATTTCAGTAAAAATAAATGCAATTTCCAGTAAAAAAAAAAATGTAAAATAAGAAACTAGCTTTTCTAGGACATGTTCCCGTTCCTAGATTGAAACAAAATACTGTTTAACCCAATATAGCCAAAACATTCGTTTTAACACGTAGTCAAGATATTTAGCATTCTTTATTTTGCATTAACTCAATATCTACTGCTTTATCTGAACAGCACATTTTAATTCAGAGAAATCATCTGTCCAGTGATCACTAGTTACAATGATCTAACTTTGGGCAACAGAGCTCCATAGTTCCTGCCTTCGATTTTCTATACTTTCCAGCACATAAATTCTACGAATTCTTTTTTCAGCAAGAAAATCTGACTTTTACGTGAGAAATTCAAGGGCCCAAAATTTCAGAGAAAGGCATTCTCACAGGAATGCTTTTTAATCAGGTAATGATTCCACACTACACAATTTTCTACTCTAGAAACACTCCTTAATTCATAAATCTAACTCAACATTTTTATCTTACAAAAGGCCGAGAGGCATTTTAAAACAACTTGGTATTTTCATGCTGAAATTAAACTGAATACTTGAGAAAATACAACAAAGTGAAACACAAACACCATAGGTTCCCCAGTAAAAAGGGTGATCGTTAAAAGATCTTAATTAGTAATGGCAGCAAGATTTATACTGATGTGACATTAACGATTCAGCAGAAATCTCAAGGCTTTATTTAACTCTTGGGCCGAGACTTGGGAGAACAATGCCTCAAAGCTATCACAACTTGGACCTGGGACCTAAGAAAGATATGTTTGATGCCCTGTTATCCGTAAATCAAGAAACCCAAAATTAACCAAACCATACACTATCACAAGCAACGAAGTACATTACCTCTTACATTACTGATGATTAATCACACAGACCGAAAAGAAAACCACGAGACCATCTCTCATTTCCTAAGCAACTAAAGTAAAATCTGCATTTGCTCAGCTCTTCAAGGATACCGTAGGTGGCTCTGAAAAGAGCCTTTTGTTTGTATGCAAAGCTTTGAACTACGAAAGTGAAGGTTTCTATTTGCCCTTGGCCTTGTGGTGGCTCTCGGCCTTCTTGGGCAGCAGCACGGCCTGGATGTTGGGCAGGACGCCGCCCTGCGCGATGGTCACCTTGCCCAGCAGCTTGTTGAGCTCCTCGTCGTTGCGGATGGCCAGCTGCAGGTGGCGCGGGATGATGCGCGTCTTCTTGTTGTCGCGCGCCGCGTTGCCCGCCAGCTCCAGGATCTCGGCCGTCAGGTACTCCAGCACCGCGGCCAGGTACACCGGCGCGCCGGCGCCCACGCGCTCCGCGTAGTTGCCCTTGCGCAGCAGGCGGTGCACGCGGCCCACGGGGAACTGCAGCCCGGCCCGCGAGGAGCGCGTCTTGGCCTTGGCGCGCGCCTTGCCGCCCTGCTTGCCGCGTCCGGACATGTCAGCAAGAACACCAACGCGCACGGGAAGCCCTCACGCCCGCGAGGCCGACCTAAGCTACTTATAGTGGTGGCGGGGCGCGAAAAAGGAGCTGTGCGATTGGCCACTGTGAGATTTTCGTTTGCACCAATGGGGGCGCGACGATGGGGCATGCGTGTGTCGATTGGGTGAAGCCGGCGCGGTGGCGTCACCGGAGAGGAAGCACCAATCACCGGGGAGCGCCAGTCCACCTCATTTACATAAGGCTGTATATTTAAGGCGGTGCCGCCGGGCCCTGGCACTTCATTTTCCTTAATCTGTTGCTCGCCATGCCTGAGCCGGCCAAGTCCGCGCCCGCGCCCAAGAAGGGCTCCAAGAAGGCCGTGACCAAGGCGCAGAAGAAGGACGGCAAGAAGCGCAAGCGCAGCCGCAAGGAGAGCTACTCGGTGTACGTGTACAAGGTGCTGAAGCAGGTGCACCCCGACACGGGCATCTCGTCCAAGGCCATGGGCATTATGAACTCGTTCGTCAACGACATCTTCGAGCGCATCGCGGGCGAGGCGTCCCGCCTGGCGCACTACAACAAGCGCTCGACCATCACGTCGCGGGAGATCCAGACGGCCGTGCGCCTGCTGCTGCCCGGGGAGCTGGCCAAGCACGCCGTGTCCGAGGGCACCAAGGCCGTCACCAAGTACACCAGCTCCAAGTAAATTAATTTTAGGCGCTGTGGAACCCCAAAGGCTCTTTTCAGAGCCACTCACTTCTCACAATAGAGTTGCTTCACTATTCCAGTCTCTAATTTGAGAGGGTTTTTTTTGTTTTGTTTTTTGGGTAAAGGGGGGCGACGGGGAGGTTGGGGTTTTCTCCAGGCTTGCGTTTTGTATGTATTACCGATGCAGTTTGTGGTTTTAAAGAACTTTTGGTCGTGGCGATATTTAGAAACCTCGGGAGTTGGAGTTTCAACAGGAGTTCGCAGGTTTTCTTGCCATGAGGTTGGTTAAACATCTAGGAATTCAGTTAAGTGTCCCAGGTTTGCAATGCGTAATTTAAAACATTTTGCAAATGCAGGCACGAGGCGGTAGCGTTTGCGCCCTGGGCAGCAAAAGTAAAAGCTTTTCGGAAGGCAGCTTGCTTTCTGCACAGAACACCGCAGCGCTCGCTGTTCGGCAGCCCGCCTTCGCAGCACCGGGTCGCGGCGGGTGGGCGTGCTCACGTCCTGGGCCCTGTCCCGCCTCGCGGCCCCCGACCCGTCAGGCCCGCGGCTCGCGCCGTCTCTGCCGTCGCCGGACACGACCTGGAAATGGAAGTCCATGTCTAGGGAATAGCTTTCCGTGGCGGGAGGGCGCGAGGGCGGCCCGTCCCTTTCGGACCAAATTGAAAACCGGAGGCGGCCGGGCGGGAAGCCCGCGCCTGTCTCCCTCCCCCCACCCCCTCCTTGCTCCAGGCGCGAGCGGAGGAGACGGAGCCAGCTGCGGACTCCCCGAGGCCATCTTTGAGGTGAGCTGGCGCCCGCGGGGAGTGCTGCGGACGCACAGGCATTTTAGGAAAGGGAAAAAACAGAGCAAAAAGCGGGTTGACAAGGCAGTGGGTCTCCGCTTGCAGTAAACGGCAGCGGAGCCCAGGGCCAGGGAGCCCACGTTGGGTTTGGAATAAAGGGCTGACTTCTGGCTGCGCTCCGCCATCTGCTGGGACCACAGAGGAGCTGAGCCGCTCTGAGGGGATGCGCCGGTAGCGAACCCCGCGCGCCTGCCAGGTCAGTGCAGCCCGCGCCCCGCTCTTTGGGAGAGCTCTAGTGAAGCGAGTGCTGCCGCCACCTCGGCTTCTCGAGTAGAGCAAACCCCAAGTAACGAATACAGGGGCCATAGCAGTACACAGTAGGGCTGTGGGAGATTCGCCTCCGTTGCGGGGGGACGCCGCCTTGGACTACAAGTCCCATGGGCCCTTCTCCGAGGGGACGTGCTAGGGGCGGGGCTACGCGGCCGTGATCGACAGATAACGGCGCCCGCCGGCGGCCTTGGTCTGATGCTGCCTGCCGCCGCCGGTGGCCCGGTGCGCGCTGCTGCGTTACCTTTGGCCAGTTAACTCTGTCGCCTCCTCCTTCTCCCCTCGTCCCCGGGTGTCTGCTTCTGGCTTGTGTCCTGAGCCCCGAGCCCCGAGCCCCGGCCGCGAGGGCTCCCCCAGCCCCCGCCGTTTCCCCAGTGGCTGCCCTGGACCACTGGGGCCCCGCGCCTGGCCGGCCCCAGCGCCCTTCCCGATTTTGGTCCCTGGAGCGTGGCGACCGCGGGGCCCTGGCGGGATCTTTGGCTTTAATGAGGGGCTCGGCTTTCTCTCCGCACGGCCGCGGGTGACTCGAGCGCGGACTCGGGCTCCGTGGCGGCCCGGCGTGCAGCGGGTGCTCCTGTTCCCGGGCGCTGCCTGTGGGGCCCGCTTTCTGGAATCTGCTCAGAGGCCTCCTTTGGGGGCGCTGACTTGCTTGCAGAGGGGTGCACACCCTCGCCTTGGACCGCTGGGCGACTTCCGGCCGGCCTCCCGGCCTTAGGCTTAGCAAAGGCTCCCACAGGAGAGGGTCGCGGCCTTCCCCTCGCCCTCCTAGCTGTGCAAGGCGGGGGACAGGAAAACAGGGCCGTCATTTACTGGAAGCTTTGAACCCGCCAGCAGAGAACCCCTTTCGGAAGGCCAGAACCCCTCTTGTGGGGGCTGCAGCGGCTCCTCCGTCCTTGTTACCCCCACTCTCTGCACCGCCCCCCACGGGGTAGGACTCTAATGGCTTCTCACACCAGATGGGGCGCCCAGCTTGGCCAAAGGAGCTGCCCTGCAATAGGACACTCCCCACTGTGTGGATTGCGGGAACAGGGGCACCCTGCCAGCCTCTGTTGGCTATGGAGGGCTTCCTGAATTGGAAAGATCCTGTCCCTCCACACCAGCAGGATCCTGAAAGGATGGCTGACTTGTTTGCCTCTATTTTTGTTTCCCATTGTAGACGGGCAGACGCACAGTCCGTGTTACTAACCCTGTTAATTAACATCGGGTGAGCAGAGAATGGTTTTGATGAAGGCAAATGAGGAGGGAGGCTCGTCGTCGTCGTCGTCGTCGTCGTCTCCACCAGCGAGATTTTAAAAAACCCTGGAACCTGAAGAGGTTGTCCCAGTGGTGGATCCTAATGGGACCCCCCAAAATGGAGTGGAAAGGCTGGAATATCGTAGGAGGTGCTTATCGGGACTGTGGCACGGAATTCCTAAGCAAAGGAGGTTGGGTAAGGTGTAGAACTCCAGCAAAAGGTCCATGAGCACCCACCTGAGTTTCTTGAAAGGATTGTTTGAGCTTATAGTACTTTGACATCAACCCAGATAGTCTGGAAAGTAGATGATTAACATGACATTCATGTGTCAGAGCACTCGGATATAAGGAGGGAATCAATCAAGACCGAAGGTGCCTTAAAGATGAGTTCTTCCCAGCTTTAGAGTTTACAGTGGCGGAGAGTCAAGGAGACTTAAATCTGCAGATATTTTCATAGAACACAGGACAGGGTTTAGGCAGCCCAGAGAAGGGATTTGGAGAAGTAGAAGGGAACCCTTGGAAGATGGTGTGTCAGTGGTCATGAAAATCTTTCCAGAAACCCTGTGGGTTTTGCCTTGTGCTGGTAAATATCAGTCTCAATGCATTAGACCTTGGTTGATGCAACAGAGGACACACCCAGCCTGCGGAGCCCATGTTTACCTACGGAATTTCCTGGTCACCCCAGCTGACACTTGCCCCAGTTCTGATAGAGGGGGTGACTATACAAAAGAAGTTCAGTTTTCAGACTCCAGAATTTGCTTTTGCCTTTTGCTATGAGCCGAGGTGTGAGGCTGTCTGCTCTCAGTATTGTGCAAAAGATGCTACCTAATCTCATCCAAGCTGCAGCCCAAGAGGACAAGACAAATGTTCAGCATAGGGTTCAAAGAAAATGGAATTTTAAAAGTTATATTTGAATGTCACGTAGGTATTTTCCAACATAAACGTAACTGATAGCATGTATCTTGGGATATCTTTTCTCCTTATTCCACACACCCTTTGCCCTCCTTAATACATTTTAATTTCCTGAAATTCAAGCAAAAGTGAAGTAGTTGCCGGGCTTCAATTTTGAACGCTGCACCAGACATAGAAAAAGAATGCAGAATCAAAAAATACGGGCAAAGAGCTTTCAGCTTTGACTCATAACTCCGTACCTTCTAGGGCCTCTCTGCCTCCAGATTGCATCCTTTCATCCTGGTGATCAGGGCTTAAGACCTGTCAGAGTGGAGATACCCAAGCTCAACTCATAGAATGTCCTCGTAATTAGGATGTTTTTCTAACCACTCACACTTCTTTGAAATTTGCAGGCATAAAAGCCTTGGGTGCATCCCTCTAGAGTGAAGAAAGTCCTGGAAGGTGATGACCCAGAGACCAACATCCATTGGTCCTACCAACTTGAAGACAAGTTATGCTTGTTTAAGAGAAAGACGAGCTTAAGTATTCTCTTTTCTCTTTCAGTTTCTGTTGCCCAGATGAACCCTGGAAACCCTGCGATAATCTAGGGTTATGGTCCTCGACCGAAACTTTTTTCCTTTTTCCAAAGTCTGAGGTGTGTAGGATGACTGCTGGAACCATGTGACCTGATTCTCCAGCTTTAAGTATAATTTTTTCTCTTCTATCTGGGTTATTGAGGTTGAGTACGTGAAGTCTTGTAATGTCAGATAATGTGGGCGTTGGGAGATTTAAATTTTGTTTTGAAAGTTAAAGTCTCCAGTTATAGAGTCAAAATAAAAGGTTATGGCTTAGCTGTCAGCACTGTGGTGAGTTTAGACAGTTTTCATTACAATTTAAATGGACTTTCCCCCCCCTAATACTAATGCAAAACTCACTGAAAACCTAAATTAGGGAAATGGGTGGTCGACCTTCCTTGGATTGATCACAGGAAATTTTATGGAATTTCAGTTAAGCTCCTGAGACACTAACCACAGAACTTAGGGGTAGGAAAACTTAAGCAGCGTCCTGTAAGCCTGATCTGCTTGCCCTCGCTTATCTTCTGCGATCTTCCCATGAGGCTCACTTGCTGTAAACTTGATGTAGCGATGGAATGCTTCAAACATATGTAGGATGCTGGTCTCTGTATATTCACGATAACACAAGAAATACTCAACTAGAACTCACTGTGTTGGAGGGTGAAGTATGCCTGGCCTCCAAACTGACCACAAGACAGTGAGTCAAGATTTCTTCAGTAAGTAAAGAATCATAGTAAATGATTGCTAAGGAACATTTCCATAAATCTTTAACAGTATTACAGCTTGTTCCATTACAATTTTATCTTTGCACACAATGTAACCTGAACTGTCTTTCCATGGATGGTTTTGAGGTACATTATAGCTGTGGACAATGCTCACACTTCAGTTTTCCTTTGTTCAGATTCTAAATTCCCATCTGTCATTGTTGGAATTTTCCCTTTGGTTACTTGACATGTGACTGTGTGATTTCTTCATATCGAAGAAACTGCTATTTTGAAAGAATCTCATTCATTTTATTCCTGCTCATATTATGGCAAGATTCTATTTCTGTAACTTTCATCAAATTCTGGGAAGGAACCCCATTCAAGGCTTAAGCTGAATTTCCAGATTATAGTCAAAAAAAGGCACTCACAGATTGGAGGAGTTAGCACAGGTCAGGCTCTCAGTATCTGTTGAGATTTCTTGATTTGGAATCTCAGTATCTGTGGACAAAAAAGACAACAGACTCAGAATTTTAAATACGACTGTCAATGTTCGGTCACTGGGGAAAATTCCCCCATCCCTCTCAGCTCTTGATCTGAACAAAAAAAAGGACCACCAGGCAGATTAGTAAGAGAGACCAATTTTTATTATATATGGAAAATTCATAACATAAGGCTGTACACTCTAAAGTGCATGGGACAGGGTTTATATCCTGGGCTAGGGAGTGGGGAAGGGACCTGGGGTGCCGAGGAGGGGAGAGTCATATGATCAGAACTCGCCCTGCTTTAAGATGAGCTTCACAGAAGCTTCTGTGGCCTACGTCTCGCCTCTGCTCTGGGCCTTAATGGATGTCATCCAGCCCTGGTAACTCAGGAGTGGTTTACACAAATGGGTTGTAGAGAAGGCGGTCGCTTCTGGGCCTCCTAGGGAGCCTGGTGTGGTTATCAATGGCCTTGTCTGCTGACCTCTGAGTTTACTGTTGCGGGGGAGACTTTGAATGGCTCAGGATGAGCCAGACATGGGAAAGGGTTGATTAGGAGATCTGTGGCCCCAGGCGCTAAGTGGGTTGAGGGTAGCCTCATCTTCTTACCCTTGGCTTGGTCCTGTCTGTCCCGTAACAGTGTCTCAACTGCAGGTAGAATATAAGGCGTCTTGACAAAGCTTGGGTCCCGTGTCTTCCGGAGACAGCAGGATAGCTAATGGTTAACGTTACTCAAGACCTGAGTAAGCTGAGGACTGTCCAGAGTTGAAAAGCCTGGGCCAGTTTCGAAGAATCAAGGATTATGAGACCTTTGTCAAATTACTGACTTCCTATCTGAAGGAAGAAAATAATAAAATTCTTTAAGTTAAAAAGCATAGTTTTCTCTCTCAGATAAAAATATTTCTGGAGATGACACTACACCTGCGTCATCTGTATTTTAAGTAATGGTGGCAATTTCTCCTGAGGCTACTCCTCTGTTCACCTGGACTCTGCGTGCTAAGGTGACACATCGGGAAAGCCTGTCTGAACATTTTGGGGGAGGCTGATCCTATGCTACAGTGAAAGCCGTGCTGCAGAAAGAAGGAAGCGCCAACATCTGCTAGTTTAACCGAGCAGGTGAGTCCAACCTCCGTCCAGTGGCCCACAGATTTTCCTGTACCTCCTCCCTGCCCGCCCCCCGCCCCCCCATGCAGTGAGCTGTGGAGTTTGGCCACTGAGGTCACAGACAAGTGAAACACAAATTAGGTACCTTATCTACAAGTTCCCAGGAGAGAAATCTGTCTAAGATCTTCAGGAAGCTTGAATCAAATAAAACAATATATGTAACTAAGATATAAGTTAGCATCATGCATTACGAGGCCAATGTGGTAACATTAGACATTGCAAAATGTCCAGTTCATCCTTCTAGACTAGCCAGTGATTTTACTTAGTCGTAACCCAATCATCCAACATAAAGGAAATTTATTTAATCAAGACATGATTCCAGCACTGAGTATGCCCAGTGCTCCCTCCCCCCCAAAATGAAAATTCCTCTTAAGGCGCTTTGAGGGGAGGCATCAGACAATAAAAATGATTTATCAAAATCAATGAGATTTGAATAAGGGAAGGGGCGAGGGAGTTGGGGGGGGGGGTCACATTTTTAAGGAGTAACACTGTTACTGCATAATCCAGCCTGAAGCTTGGGGGTTATAAAATAAAACTGGATCAATGGATTCTGGGTTAGGAACAGCGGGAAGGGCACTCTGCTCCCAGAGCTCAGGGGCCTCTGGTGGACGGACAATCACTAGCTGGAGTTGAATCTAGGGAGGGAAGCGGAGGCCCGGCATCTTCTCTCAAGTCAGGCCCTTACTGCCGGCCAGAGCCCTTCTGCTGGCCCGGGCTTCTCTGTGGTGTGGTGGCCTGGCAGTGGCCAGGCTTCGTGTGTAGTTCAGGGCTCCCAAAACAGAAAGTGCCATTTCCCATCTCTTAAGGTCCTAACAAGGCCTTCCACGGTGTTGCCAGTGGCAGGAGAGGTGATTCATTGGGCGGGTGCGAAGGCAGGTGCAGGGATTTAAGAATTAGGAAAGACACCTGGAAAATCCAGGTGAAAGATGCGTCATTTTACAGAAGCTGCGTACTCCTAGGATAATTCTTTGTGTACCCCTGTGCCAAAAGTCGCAAGATCTCTGTCTGGTCTGGTCCTGACCTGACCTTTGCGGCTAGCGCCCACGGAGACAGCCAAAGCAGGCTTACATTTCCGAGATGGCCCTCTAGAGGGCGGCAGTCACTTTTGAAACCCATGTTGAAATTTAGGAACCAGGTCCTCGGGAATGAGTATTTGTCACAAGTGATACATGTTCTGCCACCTTGCTAGGTGGCCCCATGGTGTAATGGTTAGCACTCTGGACTTTGAATCCAGCGATCCGAGTTCAAATCTCGGTGGGACCTTCCTAGATTTTTAAGGACATTTTTCCTCTGTGGTCTAGGCTCTTCAAGCTAGCATTTCCCCCTGTAATCAACGAAATGACAGGCACGCCAGTCACAGAGCAACAGGATCATTGTCAGCCTTTGCAAGTCTACTGAAGCGAGTCAGCCCAGCCCTGAAAGAAACAGCCGCCAGTCAGGGACGACGGTCCCCCTTGGGCTGGAGTCCTAGGCAGCAAGTTGTGTGTGCCTAAGAAGAGGTTTCCTGATTCTGAAAGAATGGCAGATTACTCTAAGGCTGGAAGAGTGAGACGAGATTTTTAAGGCAATGGACTGTGACTGAGCCATCTACCAATGGCCCCTGCCAGGTCAAGCCCACACAAGCAGAGCACAGAGGCCGCCTCGTCCCACCAGAGCTGCACAGTTTTTAGATTCTTAGCCTTAATGTCAGAACTACCTCTGCCCTTGGGTGAAGTTGATCTGCATGGGACGCTTCTCCAAACTGCAGGTAGCAGCTCACGAGTGAGCAGCCCTTGCTGCCACCTCAGGGCATTCTAATGCAGAACAAGTCCTCCTCACTTGGCTTAAAGCAGCCATCTACATTTTAATGGCCGTCCTAACCTGCCTACCTCTCCTGATTCATTTGTCAGCCTTCCTGCACCGCCCCCGCCCGCCACCACCCCCCCACACCCCTATTCAAGTCACCGGCCGCGGTAAAAAATACTTACTTTGTCCATTTCCCCGTCTCTTGTTTTCTACATGCAAAGTGTTTTGCCTTCCCCTCTGCCCTTGCCAGATGAGATCTTAATTCTGTCCCCACTGTTGAACCGTTACCTCAGCCCTTCCGGCCCTCCTGCTGAGACCTTCATTGGCTCCTTTGACCTAGGAGTGCCCTTGTCTGTGTTTGCCCAGGTCCCTCAGCTCCCCATATCACCTCATGGATTTGCTGTTTGTTTAGTATGCCCTTTCCTCGAGACAGTAAGGGAACCAGCCCAGTGGCCGCCTTCACCTGTCGGTTCTCATCCCACAGCCCGGCTCCTGTGAGAAGCTCCCAAGTACTTGCTGAGTGCATAAACTTCCATATGCTGTGTTCAGCCCACAGTCTCCAGGGGGCTCGTGTCCATGCTGGGTTCCCCAAAGTTCTGTTCTACTTCGTCCCGCACTTCTTTTTCTTCAAGGATCCCAAGTCCGTGTCCACCCTAAGACCAAGTCTTTGCCCATGACTGGAGCAGAAGTCTCCGTGGAGGCAAATGTCACCCAAGATCCTTCACCCTACTTAGTGAGTGCACTCGGGAGGGCTGGGTGTGGGGGGGGGTTGGGGGGAGTGGAGGGCAGGATAATGTGATCGGGCTCCCATATTGCATCTTGGGATGAGAATTCACCTCAAGGGAGAAGGGCCCCTGTCACTACATTCTGGGCCTGCTGTCCTGAAGTATGTGCCTCGTTTGGGTTACCTCTTGATTGTAGGGAGCCCAGCATCTGGCAAGCAACTGGTCTCTGGAAAGACTACGCATTTGTGATGGAAGATGTTTGAGCACTTCCCTGTGAGCAGGATTTAGACTGAGGGTGCCTCCTCTGTTTTCCTTCTGAGGGCACAGGAAGGAGCAATGGCCCCTGAAAGCTGCCAAGTTAGGACCCTACTCAGACCAGCTTCCCCGGCTGTGCTCAGAGGCGTGACCAGGGCAGGCCTCTGGAGGACTGGAGCCGCTGCCCGTCAGGTCTCAAGCACTTCCCTGCCCGGAGTGCATTTTTTGGAACTGACCGGGAACAGCTCAGGGTCAAGGCCAAGAGGAGCCACTGGAAAATATGATTTAACTAATACACTCGTCGTTGGCTCCTTGTGTCGTGGGGCCAAGAATCTATAGGGCCTTCCCGGCGCAGGTTGAAAAACATCTCCAGTGGAAGGACCTTTTCCTTGTCTGCCAGGTTTTTGAGAGTTTGGGATCTTCCGTGGAAGATTTTTACCCTCTTTCCTGAGGGTTCTCTACACCCTCTGCTTGGCCATCCTCGTCCTGTGCTAGACTCGACAAAAACTCCCAGCCCAGCTTTCCAGGAATCACCAATTGGAAGACTTGGTCTAGTTAGCGTCGCCCCAAGAAGGGGGTGTTTCAGGCCGACTTTACGGGACTGTGGGTGTTGTCTGGGTTGGTTGGCGCTTGACGTCTGTGTCCAGAAGAGGGTGCCGGGCTCCGCCGTCCGCCCCACCTCCCCCACCCCCCCCCCCGCTCCCAGCCCAGGACCAGCGCGAGCCGCGGGCATCCGCGGGCATCGGTTTCCCCCAAGCCGGCTCGACACCCGCGGAGAATCCCCGCCAGCGCGGCCGGCACCAGGGAGGAAACGGCCGCGTCGTCCCGTCGCGCTGCGCTGCGCTGCGGGCCGCTCAGAGCCGGCAGGAGGAGCTTAAGACGCGACTCACGTTCCCCCAGACCCCTCGCAGCAATCGGTCGTTCTGTGGGTTTTCGTAAAGGTGGGACCGGACTTGTGGGTACCCCGGGCGGGACTCTTCTTTGGGTCCACCTGCGCATTTCCTCTAGGTGACGGGGGCGCTGGGCGGGCGGCCCGTCCTCCCGCCCCGAGTTGCGCATCCAGGCCTGCGGGGATCCTGCAGCCCCCCGCGTCGTGGCACGTTTGTTTCCTCTTTTTGTTAACTCCGGTGTCTCCACTGTGGAAGCCACAGTGTCTGGCAAAGCGGGGAGAAGATCGCGCGTCCGTCTCGGGGTCCCTCTCTGTGAGTGGGGACAACGGTCCCGTCTCGCGGGCGGGTCGTGCGCCCTGGGTGACGCGACAGTGCCAACACCTGGCACAGGACCGGCAGGTGGCCAGGCCCAGCCTCGCTCAGCGACCTCACCTGGGCTCCAGAAACAGAGGCTGGACTCCAGGCTCCCGGGCCGCTCGGGAGGGGATGTGGGAATGTGTGGGTGGCGGGGAGGATTCCTAACCTTTAGAGGTCGGTGTTTGCCTTTGGGCTCCGGGATTCTGGTGCAGCCACGTGGCGGGTCAGCACCCATTCTTCCCCTCGGGGAGGACAAGCAGAGATTGCTCACACCCTTTAGACGATAGAACAGGAGTTGGAGGGAGAAGAGCTGTCATCAGAGATTTCCGGGACCACCCCGCCGCGCCGCGGGCCCCATGGTGTAATGGTTAGCACTCTGGACTCTGAATCCAGCGATCCGAGTTCAAATCTCGGTGGGACCTCAGCATGGTTTTTACTTTCATTCAATTCCCAGTTCCTCTCTGCAAACAATCGATTGACTATTTCTCTCAACCCTTAGCAGTTTCCATCCGCAACACACGTGAGCTAACTGGTAGGGGCAAAGTCCTGTCCCTTGTCAGATTCTCAACAGAATTTCATTTTTCATGTACTATTTAAGTCCTTATCACAATTTTTATTTTTATTTTTTTATTGGTTGCATGCGACCATTAAAAAGACAATTTAAACCACGAGAAAAACATTTGAAATACAGACTTGGGAACACTGGAAACACTAAATATCAATTTTTATATGTCTTTCTGTCTCCGCATAGTATGTCATCAGTCTTTGAGCATAAAAATGCAGTATACTGATAAAACCCTGTGATATAGAGATACCTTTGCAAGAGAAAGGGAAGTCAAACACTTTTCTACTGTTACATGCCAAGTAGATTTTGAAGGATACCGGTGCATGTCAGATTGTTGCTATTTAGGTCCCAGTGGGCAACATTCAATGAGTGATTGGACCCTGTGAAAATTCTACCACATGCTGACAATTCCTTTTTGGGGGGAATGATTTCAATTTATGAATGGACATTGCAAAAGATCACTGGGGAACGTTTGCGAACACAACAGTATTGTGAGTCTCCACAAAGGCTCTAAGGAATGAAATATCTTGTTCTAAGTTAAAACCATGACGTGCTAGGCCAAACCAGTCCCCTCCCCATCACTGCACACTCGGACATTCATTTCTAATTTTCAGGAGTTTTTTCCTCTGTAGTTTCCATTTGTGTGCACATTTAAGACAGTTTGATTTTTTTTTCTTAAGATTTATTTATGTATTTATACAAGCAGCACGGGGTACAGTCAGAAGCGTGGGAGGGTGAGAGAATTCACCAACAGACAGAGCGGGGAACAGAACAGGCAGACAGACGAAGTGCACTGCCGAGGGGAGCAGCGGGCACGGCAGGAGAGGTCTGTGCGCCATGTGGGACCCTCGCCTGGCGGCCGGGGATGGAACTGGCGCTGCAGAGGCTGCGGGCAGCTTCGCAACCCAGCGCTCAACCGCTGCGCCACCGGGGAGGCCCTTGATTTATTTTACATGGTTTATGATTTTGCAGGCTTTCACTGAAGCATATTTTTATTACACCTGCGTTGCTCAGATATTTTATATGCAATCGCTTCCAACAAAATGTGTTTTCTTCTGAGTTCTCACTAATTGCAACAACATGCTTTATTTACACGTAGTTTTTGAGTCACTAATCTATCTGGAACTTGATTTCATACATGGCCGAGAGGTAGGTGTCCATATTTCTTTTCTTCCATTCACCTTTGCCTGCTGAATCGAAATACTGGTCATATGATAATTTCCATGTACCCTTGAATCAATGTTTAAATTTATCTGTTTCCTCTCTATATACTTTTGACAATGCTATGATCTTTTGATTGGATTTTCTTTTTAACACATTTTCCTTCCTGGACGGTATTTGTCATTGTCAGCTACAGGAAAAGATGAAGAGGGAAGGTTGGAGATTCAAATAATGTTTCATTTTGTAATTTCCTGCTTCTGGAGCAGGAATTGGCAGCCAGTTAGGCCGCTGCTGAGCAGATATTCAAAGTGAGCCTGGAGGGAGAAATCCCAGGCCCTGGAATTCCACTCTTGGGGATCTCTGTGTACTTTGCTCATAGTAAACACTCACATGCCATTAAACATGATAGTTTCCTCCGTGTGCGCTGCAGGTTCTGAAAGATTCAGAAAACAGCCATAGATCATAAAAGGACTTCAGCATTCTTTTAGGGCGTTGGGAATAAGTTCATAGTTTGCACAAATGAATGCAAGGGTTTGATCTCTGAGGGACAGCTTCTGATTTTCATGCTCTACACCCTAAGTGACCCCCTCTTTCTCTCTATTCCCTATTTTCGCGTATAGTGCCGGCAAGGACCAGGGCAACTTCTCTATGGATCTGGGCAGACGGGTAAAGGACACTCCTGGGGCCCTCAGTGGCTTTTTCAGGCTTTTAATGATCTTTCGATGTCATTTGTAGTGAGGCAACTAGGTGCAGGAGAGGCTGGGGGTGGCTGGCAGGCCTCCCAGCCCGGCGAATCTTTACTCTCTCTATCCTTTGTCGTCGTCTCATAGTATCTGCCGGAACCGTCCTCTGCGATGCCGCCCTATAGCCTCAGTCTCTCGGCTCAGGTGCACCCACACCGCCTCCCAGGTGCCTACCCTCAGGCATGTGCACCCCTCCGCAGATCCCAGCCCAGCTCCCAAGCGCCTCCTGTATTCAAGGCCACAGGTGATGGCCACAGAGGCCAAAGACACAAAAGCCTGAGCATCTTCCTTTACCCGACACCCTGCTAACCCCGTCTGCCCCCTTATTCCCTTCCCGGCCTACTTGCACACCCCACTGCTGCTGTGCTCTGTGACATAGCCGAAGGGCGGCGCTGAAGGTTGGAGACTGTCAGAAGCACTTGAAGAGCATCAGTGTGTCTGTCACTGGTTGCAGCCAGGGATGCAGCAGACTGGATGACAGTTTCAAATCCCGAAGCCCCACTGAGGTTTTTATTATATGCATGAATCAAAGAATTTACTCTGTGGGAAACACAAAAACACACGCTGTGCTGGATCCCTCTAACGTGGGGCCTGGAAATGAAACGGCGGCGACCGGTGGTGAGTTCAGCACCAACCCCTGCTTCCTGTGGAACTCTCGAAACATTCCACTCATTTCTACACTTTTAGTGTAGAAAGCACAGAGCTTTCTACGGGGGCCTCTGCAATGAGCCCCTGAATGTGTACAGCTGAGAACAGAAACGCCCTGTGGGTCTTCTCCAGCCTCCGGGCCATGCAGCGAGCTCTACCGTGTTCTCCCACGTGAATTCAGCCTCCCTCCGCAAGCAACAGTCTGCCTCCTCTTCCGGTTCTGTTTCTCAGCCGTTTCTGTTTAAATCGGGGTCAAACCCCTTAGAAAGTAGCAGGCTCTTTCCCGCTGCTGAGTTGTGGGGATGTGGAGGCTCCGGTTCATTGGAGATTCGGTGACACTGTCAACCACAGCCCTGGCCGAGGAAGAAAGGCAAGGCTGCTGGAGGTGGAATGGGCTGTGAGTCATTGGGCCTGAGGGGCTCAAGACCCCCCCCCCACCCCCACCCACCATGGCCCAGCCCAGGGGACTCAGAGACTGCTGACGTCCATCCTGAGCACTCGCATCCGTGGCGGGGGGAGGCCTGTGTCTGTCGTTTGCTGGAGGCCCTTAGTGCAATGCAAATCCACCTACTCAAGGCTGATGGCATCAGGAAATTGGGGTGATAGGTAGCTGGATAGACCTTTAAAATTGATGGGGGGTGCTGTAGGGTAAACGAGTTTATCAGGTTTTTATGCCACCAGCCTCTCTGGCCTTGATCGTATTGATGCAAGAGACACTGGGGAACATGGACACGGCACGCGTGCCTGACGGTGGGCACCTGGAGTCTGGTGTGGGCATGCGCAAGTGCACATCTGAGCCTAAAGGCCAAGGCTGTAAGGGTGGCCTCAGAGACAGGGCTCTGGGGCTGTCCTTATCCGTCTGTCCTTATCATAGTGAAGCTGCCCTGTGCTTGCTGGTGACTGTTTACAGTCCGGTAGCTGGGACTGCGGCACAGTCTCAGGCCTAGGAGTACTTGGAGTGCAAGCAAGGGCCAAATAAAAGATTTGACTCCTGTTCCAAAGAGAGAGGAAGAGAAAGAGAAGAAAAAGAAAGGAGGAGAAGGAAGGAAGGAAGGAAAGAGGGGGAAGGGAGGGGTCAGTGAAGAGGAAAGAAATTTGGGGATAACACTGCAGGCAGATTTGGGACAAAAGTAACGCTGGGCCTGCTGGTTCTGATGAAAATAACAACGAGGTAAATCACAGGCGCTCCCTGCTCCCAGCAAGCATCTCTGGACTCTCTTGATTGACCTCGGCCTGAGCTGGGCAGTGGGGACCCCAAGACTCTCAGGGTTGGGGGGCCTCCCTGGTGGCACAAAGGGT